TATAGTCCTCCAGGGAGAAGTTGAGGGAAGATGTAATTTTTTTCATTGTGATTAAATCCTGACTTTAATAAACAAAAAAAATTCTAGAAGACAGAAATGTAACATTCTATACTGTTTCTAATGTAAACATTGTCGAAGTGGAAATTTTATTTTAATTTGTGGTTCTAACATATACTTTATCTGCATAGCAGATAACTTCTGCAAAGACAACTCAATAGACCTAAAATTAGAGCCATATCATTGATTTAAATAGAATATTGATATCCAAAGATTAAAATATAATGGTTGTACATTTTCTCATTAGTCTTTTCATAAGGAAAAAATGAACATTAAAATTTTACCAATAAGGTAGTGGTTATTGGTTGTATATCTCTTGAAAAAATAAGGGAAATTAAATTATAAATCAAGTCAACTTTTGTTTTTGCCTATTTCAAATGTTTTTTAAATAATTTCAACTTTTATTTTAGATTTGGGGGGCACATGGGCAGATTTGTTAGCTGGGTTTAGTGTGTGATGCTGAGGTTTAGGGTGTGATTGTTGCCGTAACCCAGGTACTGGGCATAGTACCCAGTAGTCACTACTTTTCACCTCTTTCCTCCCTCCTTCTTCCCCTGTCTAGTAGTCCTCAGTGTCTACTGTTGCCAGCTTTAATGAATACCACTTACTTACCTTCTGGGGAAAATGTATTTTTAAGGAAATCATTAAGAAGGATTCAGGGACAGTATCCTGACCCACAACAGGTATTGTTTAATTTAGTGATTTGATTAGATGGAACTTTTTGGACATTGGATTATTCGTCAGTGCTTTATCACATTCATTTGAAATGTGAGAACCAATTGGATAAAAGCAGGGATACTAAAAAATGTGTTTCTTTATGTTATTCCATTATTTCGGAGTTTCAAGTTCTCCATTTAGAATGTGACCTTTCTTTCAGGGAATAAATACTTTTTTTGAAAGAGAACAAAGTAAAGTTATTCCGTTATTTCTGAGTTTTAAGTTCTCCTTTTAGTATGTGACCTTTCTTTTAGGGAATAAATACTTTTTTGAAAGAGAACAAAGTAAAGTTCAGAGGTTTCATATTAAAACAAAAAATCCATCTTTTATGAATTACGCTTATCTAAGTTTTGGTAAATAGAAAATTATGAAATTCGGTTTTATCAATTGCTAGTGGTTCATTATAAATTCTGGAAATATGTATGATCTGCCTGTAATATTAAGGGAACAGTAATATTACTAACACATGCAGAGGTAACATTCTTGTGCCTGTTAAAAGATGAATTTAGGCTGAGTATGGTGGTTCATGCCTGTGATCTCAGCACTTTGGGAGGCCAACGCAGGAGTATCCCTTGAGGCTAGGAGTTCAAGACCAGCCTGGGGAACATAGTGAGACTCCATCTCAACAAAATTTTTTTAAAAAAATTACAGGAGACCAGGTGTGGTGGCTTACACCTGTAATCCCAGCACTTTGAGAGGCTGAGGCAGGCAGATCACTGGAGTTCAGGAGCTTGAGACCAGCCTGGTCAACATGATAAAACCCCATCTCAACTAAAAAATGCAAAAATTAGCTGAGCATGGTGATGCATGCTTGCAATCCCAGCTACTTAGGAGGTTGAGGCAGGAGAATTGCTTGAACCTGGGAGGCAAGGTTGCAGTGAACCAAAATCACACCACTGCATCCAGCCTAGGCAAACAGAGCAAGAATCCATCTCAAAAAAAAAAAAAAAAAAATTAGGTGTGATTATGGACACCTGTAGTCCGCCTGTTCAGGAAACTGAGGTGGGAGGATTGCTTGAGCCCAGGAGTTCAGCAAAGGAGTTTGCAGCTGCAGTAGGCTATGATTGAGTCACTGTACTCCAGCCTGGCCAACAGAGCAAGACCCTGTCTCTAAAAAAAAAAAAGATGAATTTAATTTCTATTTTAAATATCTTAACACAGAAGTACTTTAATTGACTGTTACTTGTAGATTATTAGCTTCTTTACTAAGAAGTAATACTTTCAGATTTCTAAACATCACACTTTATGTCATAACATTGGTTTAGTAAAAGTATAAATAAATTATTTTCCTGGCAACTGGCATGCCAGGATCTGTTACTTGAATTTAGTTGTTTATAACTATGCCCAATATAATAAATGTGTTTCTTGATTAGTATACTGAAACTTAAAAAAGAAATCTGTTAGAATTCTGTCAGAAGGAAAACTTGTGTTGTGTGCTAGTCTTTGTCACTTATCATGGCGGTGTAGAAGTAGTTACAGCATGATCATATGAGAAATTTCTGTTGACCTATTATAGTAATAATAAATATTGAGTTCATATATAAATATACAGCTTTTCTTTTCATGCCCAGTTGATAATGTAGGAATTGGCCCACTTTGGCTTTCAGAATCTTCAGTGTCTGCATGAGAGCACATTTAGCTACAATGTGCCAGGCATGGGATTAAGCACTTTACATACATTAGCTCTAATCCTCATAACAACAATGTAAGGCAGGTGTCATTATCTGCATTTTAGTGGGGATAATTGACTTAGAATTATATGGCTCTTAAGTGATAAAATCCAGATTTTAAATTGGGAATTTTCATCTATTCATTTCCTGAGCCTATGTTCTTTCACTATAAGGCTGAATCATTTCCAATTGGAAAAAACAGTGATATTTCCAGTCGTCGACTTTACATGTTGTTCTTTTTTTTAGATAAGGTCTTGCTGTGTTGCCCAGGCTAGAGTACAGTGGCACAATCTCAGCTCACTGCAGCCTCGACCTCCTAGGCTCAAGCAATCCTCCAGCCTCGGACTCTGAAGTAGCTGGGACTATAGGCATATGCCAACATACCCAGCTAATTTTTTTGTTTTGTATTTTTGGTAGAGATGAAGTTTCACCATGTTGCCCGGACTGATCTGGAACTCCTGGGCTCGAGGGATCTACCCACCTTGGCCCAGGAGGTTGAGGCTGCAGTGAGCCGAGGTCCTGCTACCACACTCCAGCCTGGGAAATAAAGTGAGACCCTGTCTCAAACACACACACACACACACACACACACACACACACACACACAATCCCTGTCCTTTAAAAGTGATCATCATGAGATATTATTATTAAGAGACTATTACTAGGTAGGAGTCCTTCAAATGTCTTCTACATTTCATGGGCCTTATTGGAAATTTTTTTCACAGTCTAATTTTTTTCACAATCTAAGTATATTTCATTTAATTTAATAAATTATATTCTTTAAGTACTTAGTGCCAAGCATTTTCTAGATACATAATTCTCCTAATATCCTTCAGAAAAGGATATACACACATGACAAGTAAGAATTTGTGACTGTCCCAGTGGATTGTCATTAGATTGTCTGAGATTCCTTCTAGTGCTAAGATTCTGAAGTCCATGATGATAAAATCATTCATGAAGCAAACACTTTACAAAGTTAAAAAGCAGAACACGACAGTAAAGTTGCTTTCTTGGGTTATGCAGGAAATTGCGGGGAGGGAGGCAGGATGGTGTCAATGCAAAGAAAATAATCCACATGGTTCTATTCTTAACTAGTCAGTTTTTTTTTTTTTTTTAATCACATTTCTAAAATTCCCTTTTGGTAAGCAAGAACCAACCATATAATTTGACTCTTTCCTTATTATTGGGTTGGAATTGAGACCTGGTGATTCCATTCAGATGTTTGTAAATACTTTATTGCACTGAAGTCTGGTATGTGTATCTAGGCCCTCTTTTCATTCCCTTTGAAGCACCTCAAAAATATACCTTAATTTTCCAGTCTTTTCTCACCGCTCCTTTATATTGCTTTTTAGTGAGGTGTCAGGAATGTGAAAGGATGTATGTGAGTAGAATGTAACTGAGCTTAGGTGCTCTTTTAGCTTTATGGAGCTCCCCGAATAATTAAGAAAAGCATTTGGTGACTTTGGTGGGTTAGGTGGAAGGAAGGAGAAGGAAACAACTAAATACATTAGAGACAAACTGTAAGCATTGGCAGGGTTTATACTGTGAAGATTATTGGCAACACATCTATGCAGCTTTTCTTTCTATTCCCGATTGATAATGTAGGGGTTGACCTACTTTTTTGGCTTTCAGAATCTTCAGTGTCTGCGTGAGAACACATTTAACTTCCCTGCCCTATCCCTATGATTCTTTTTTTTTTTTTTTTTCCCTTAAAGAGACAGAGTCATGCCCTGTCACCCAGGCAGGAGTGTGGTGCCTTGATTATAGCACATTGCAACCTTGACCCCCTAGATTCAAGCAATCCTCCTGCTTCAGCCTCCCTAGTAGCTGGGACTATAGGCACACACCACCATGCCTAGCTAATATTTTGTAACTTTTTTGTAGAAATCGGGTCTCATTATGTTGCCCAGGATGGTCTTGAACTCCTAGCCTCAAACAGTCTTCCCACCTCAGCCACCTAAAATGTTGGGATTACAGGGGTGAGCCAGTGCCCTCGACCTCTGTGATTCTTGATATGGATGTATAAAGGACCACTAACAAATGTTTTTACAAAGTGAGAATATTAAGATAAGCCAAGACAGAAAGATAGGCCAAGACAAGAACTTCATAAAACCTCCACTTCAGGGCATTAAGAAATCAGTTGGACATGTTTTACTGTTTTACATAGTACAGTTTTTCTAATTTGTTTTGTATTTGCAATAGTTTAAAAATATTTACTAGACTATGTAATTTGTCTGACAATTTTTGTTTTGTTGTTTTTTGTTTTTATTTTAGAGATGGCATCTCACTTTGTTGCCCAGGCTGAAGTGCAGTGGCTGTTCACAGGCACAAACGTAGTGCACTACAGCCTCAAACTTCTGGGCTCAAGCGATCCTCCCACCTCATGCTCCCAAGTAGCTGGGACTACAGACACACATTACCATACCTGGCTTTGTCTGACAGTTTTAGTAAAAGTTCAAAAGTATTAGAAAACCTAAATTTCCTTGTAAAATAATATGAGATTTCTAATCGAACCAAATAGGTGTTAGAATCCTAATGGGAGAACAAAACTCAAGTACGAGAAATAACTAGTCCAAATCAAATAAAATCTACACCCTTTACATTTCTGCCACATATGAATTTCACTACCACGCAATTGTAATCTACACTGATAATATTTATAATGTTTACCAACTCTGAATAAAGGAATTTTTTAATTATAGGAAGGAATTAAGATTTCCTGATTATCTTTAGTCTTAGAGAGTCAAGACATAGACATAAACAACTTATGTAGATTATGATGATGAAATGAAGCCCTACCCCAAAGCATAGGTTTCCAATTGAACCCCCTCTCCCATTCTATCCTACTTCTTGGTTAGTTCACTTATAAGACAGGTTTATCATGATGTAATTGTTATATACAGCAAAATGTATACTTTTTAATCTACAGTTATGAGTTTTGACAAATGCATGAAATCATACAACCACCAGTACCACAATAAGTACATAGAGTATTTCTGTCACCCCCCGAGTTCCCTAATGCTCCTTTATAGTCACATCTTCCCACCACCTCAGATACTTGGCAACTACTGATCTGTTTTTTTGTCTCTGTAGTTTTGCTTTTTTCATAATGTCATCATGTAGTTCTTTGAGTTTGGCTCCATTCACTTAGCACAGTGCATTTCAGATTCAATCATGTTGCTTCATACAATTGTTTATTCCTTTTTCTGAGTGGCAATCCATTTTATGGATGGACTAAAGTTTTATTTATCTGTTGACCAGCTGAAAGATGATTTTAGTAATAATGAATAAAACCACCCCAAACATTTGAATATGTTTTTGTGTGAATATAAGTTTTCATTTCTCTTGTATGAATACCTAGGAGTTGGGATTCATACAAGAATGCCAGAATATACGGAAATACAGTATTTAACTGTATAGGAAACTGCTAAGCTGTTTTCCCAAGTGTCTATATTATTGTGCATTCTTACCAGCAGTATATTAGAGTTCCATTTGTGCCACATCCTTACTAGCACTTGGTATTGTCAGTTGGTTTTTTGTTTTTGTTTTGGTCTTGTTTTAGCCTTTCCAACAGGTATGTGGCAGTATCTTATTGTGATTCTAATTTGTATTTCAGCAGGTGAGTGAGTATAGAACTCTTAACTGGTCGCTGTATGTTGCGTTCATACTTGTAACAAGAGTGCTTGTCTTAGAATAGGAAATCTCCATCTGGAGTCATGAATTAGAGCAGTGGTTCTCAACAGCAGCAGCCCTCCCACCCTACTTCATTAAATTGGCCTGGAGACATATTTGGTTATCACAGCTGGAGGTACTGTGCTACTGTCTTCTAGTGGATAAAGGCCAAGGATGCTTCTAAACGTCTTACAGTACACAAGACACCCACTCTTCACCCCAAATAATTATCAAGTCCAAATGTCAATTAGTGCTTAGATTGAGAAACCCTGGATTACGGCAACCAGCATATCAGATATTAAAGTCATCCACCAAATTTATTTGTATTAAGGATAAGACATTCAATTGAATGTCTCAATCATCTCACAAGGATGTGATCCTATGAAGTTGGAAAATTGAGGATGAGTCACTCCATCAATGTCATGTACACTACCAGGCAACTCTAAAGAGTACAGTTACATTTTGACAATGTTTAACAATTTACTCCAGTGACATTTTCTCATCAACCGTATTTGAAAAAAAAAAAAATTTGTATAGTTTGCTGTCCCGTATAGCTCTAAGTGTAATTGGTGCACATTTAATAATTTCAAATACTTGAATTAACCTGGGAAACTTGGTAAGCTCTAACAATATCATATTGATTTGTCACTCAGTGCTGAGACCAATGTGTAGGAAAAATTTTCTTTTTCCCAAGGTGGCTGTTGCCTACTTTGAATTTCCAGTGGGGTTTGGGGCTTTTGTTTTGCTTTGCTTTGCTTTTATTTGAAATTAGTTCTAAGCCTTGTATTTTGTAACCCCTAGGCATATTCTTACTTTGCCTACCAAACTGGGGGGAGGTTGGGAGGGTGTTCCAGACCAGATGATGTGTGAATATGTCATTTTTTCACGCCTGAGAAAAATCATTGTACCTCAAATTACTAAAGTATACTCTTAAAGCAGGATTATAGAGACTATTCCTTGAAAATCGTTATCTAAGTTCAAAATTTTAAGACAGTACATTCTGCCAAACTTTCTTCAGTAGGTTTTTTTTTTTTTTTTATTACTTTGGGAAAAAATGTTGCCAGGTTCACTGTGTTTAGTTGTCTAAACCCTTACTACTTTATATTTGCATTTCTCTGGAATCAAAGATGAAAATTTGGCTGCTGCTTTGTACTGTCAGAAAATAACAGATTTCCTTATTTCAACAAGGAGATTCAACACAAACAGGGCTGTAGCTTTTAATGAGGTTGGTGACCTTCAAGGGACCAGTCCAAACATGTTTTGAGTAAGAGCAGATGTTTTTAAGAATATGCAGAGTACAGGGAGCCCTACCCTTAACCTCCTCTCATTGCTGCTGTCTTCTCAAAAGTCATTATGTTACCAAGTTAGGTTCGAGGTGGCAAATGCAGTCCTTCACATTTATCATGCTGCCCATTAGAGGGCAGCAGTACACAGACTCAGGAGCCAGAAAACCAAATACCACTACATTCTGGGGCATGAGTCTTTTTTGAATCTTCTAAACACAGTTAAATATATCATAATTTAACAAAATTAACCCCTAATCTGCCTTTTGGTGTAGAATATCTATACAACTACAGATATTCAACTTTGAACTTTGTTTTAGCATGATTTTTTAAATGCTTGTAATTCTAAATTGAGTATGGATTTGGTTTACAATATTTCTAATTGCTTTTGGGAAGACTGTTAATAACTAATAGCAACATCTTTTTTTACATAAATGGTATCTATTTAAAACCTATCGGATACTACTACTATAATTATTAAAATATAAGTAGTTGGTAACGCGATGGAAATCTTAGGATAAAGAGATGGTTTTAGCTATAGAAGCGTGGTACCATGCCATAGAATATGCAGAGAATAAGGGAATAAATATTTTTTGGCCAGACGCAGTGGCTCACACGTGTAATCCCAGCACTTTGGGAAGCTGAGGTGGGCAGATCACCTGAGGTCAGGAGTTTGAGACCAACCTGGCCAACATGGTGAAACCCCATCTCTACTAAAAATAGAAAATTAAGTGGGTGTGGTGACTCATGCCTGTCATCCCAGCTACTTGGAGGCTGAGGGAGGAGAATCTCTTGAACCCAGGAGGTAGAGGTTGCAATGAGCCAAGACTGCGCCATTGCACTCTAGCCTGGGCAACAAGAGCGAAACACTGTCTCAAAAAAAAAAAAAAAAAAAAAAGAGTATAAATATTTTTTAAATGAATGTAGACTAAACTTTTAGAAAACAGACTTTAGATTCATTCTGGGGTGGTGTGTGTGTGTGGGTGTGTGTGTGTGTGTTCTAAAAGCTTTACTGTACTAGCTTGTTCAGTACTCATAAGAACCTTATGAAGTAGGTGCTATATTGTTATCTTCCTTACAGATGTGGAAACTAAAACACAGGGGTAAGTGAACTGGCACTGCACCAGATCACACTACTAGTAAGTGGCCAACCTAGGGTTTGAAACTAGGCGTTCTAAAATCAGAGATCATAAAGTAAAAATACATTGTTATACTACCTTTCTCATTGAATTGTCTAACCTTTCTCCCTGAATTGTCATGCCACCTGTCTCTATCATATTTTCTCATATAATTCTGTTTTGGGGCCCTCTATTCTATTCCGTTTGTCCTTTTTACCTTTCACTAATAACAGTTGTTATACTATATTATTAAAGGTTTATGTAAGTTTTGATATCTGGAAATCTTAACTCTCTCACTTAACTGTTTTTCAGAATTTCCTTGACTGTTTTTGGTCTTTGTATGTCTCTGTAAAGTTCAGGATGAACTTGCCAAATTACAGGGCAAACTTTTTAGAAATTTTGACTAGAAGTGATATGTGCATTCTCCTTTTTCTTTTATTGAGACAAGGTCTCACTCTGTAACCCAGGCTGGAGTGTGGTGGTGCAATCACAGCTCATCGCAGCCTCCATCCCCCAGGCTTAAACTCTCTTCCTCCCTCAGTCTCCTGAGTAGCTGGGACTAAAGGCAGGCACCACCATGCCTGGCTAATTTTTTATTTTTTCGTAGAAATGAGGTCTCACTATGTTGCCCAAGCTGGTCTTGAACTCCTGATCTAAAGTGATTCGCCCACTTTGACCTTCCAAAGTGCTAAGATTACATAAGCATAAGACACTGTGCCTGTCCAATGCATCCTGCTCTTTCTTAGCTTCTGGGCTGGGGCACTTTCAGGCTGCTTGGTGCCAGGGGGCTGCCCGCATCCTGCTCTTTCTAAACCATGCTAAGTCATTTTTGGAACAAGACAGAAAGCTGTTCTATAGTGATAGAGAAAGATATATATATATAAACTAGAAAAAATACTGGTGTTACTAAAATTATTTCTACTTTTATATTTCCATGTTTTAAATTTTATTATAATAAATATTTACTTCATGGCAAATGTATTTAAAGTTTTAATTTTTATTATAAAGAAAGCATAAGTAGAAACCAAAGTAATGAATATACTTTAAAAAATTCAGATCTCAAGATCTACATGAATTACCTGATCAGCCTGAAAAAAGATATCTACCCAATATGTTTTAGAGAGTTGATATTTATTATTTTTGAGAAGACAAGATATGTGTAAAAGTCAATCCTAAAGAACAGAGAAGAACGGAAATACTACTTTTTGAAAAGGGCAGTTTTAGACACTACAGGCCAGTGTCATTGGTGTTAATTCCAGACAATACAGTTTTTCAACATTTGGTTTAGAAAGAGTGATTACTAAGAGTTGGACTAAGGATTTACTTACTTATTTTTCCCTGTCTTTGCTAGATGGGAAATATAGAGCATGTATGAGGGCTGCTTTGACAAGAGCAGATTTTAAATCTGATTTCACCTTCTAAGGAGCCTTATATAAGATAAGCCTAAGTATATAACTTAAGACAAAGTTGTTTGTCCTGCATCAGATAATAAGGAGTAGAGCAAGAACTGAAACCCATGCATTTTGACACTTAAAGCAGTATTATTTCTATTATATTGCTGAGACATGCTAACTATATCATTTGCCTTAGCCCAACCTTTTCTTTTGGGCCATATAACCAAAAAGAATTGTGGGAAGCAACCCTAAAACGTGATGGCAGTTGGCCATTTTTAACTGTCAAGAGGATGTATGGGAAAGTATTGAATTTAATCTACAGCATCAATAACATACGTTCAGTGGGAATAAGGAATTTCCCGGTTGCAAAGGGTAAGTGCTAGGATTAGTCAAGAATAATTGTAAAGCAGCCTTCCCTGGAGACTTTTATAAAAGAATGGATTCCGTTCTACCTGCAGTCTTTGAGATCTAATCCTGCTTAACTAGATGACTAGATAAAAGTTCATGCCAACCCCAAGAGTCTATAAAAATATTAGCTGACACATTTAATTCAATTCTTGCAATCCTGATGTGTGTTCAACATTGAGTCCTCCTCATTAAGATGCAGTAGGAAGAGATTTAGAGTGACTGCTGTGTGCTAAGCAGTTTCTAAATGCAGTAGATATACATCTACCATCATGGAGCTTTGTTTACAGAGAGAAGGTTAGATAATAAACAAGTTAAATAAAATGTAAAGTATGTGAGAGAGTGATAAGTGATATAGAAAAAAATATAATGGGGATAAGGAGCGTGTTGGGGGTGAGAGTATAATTTTAGATAAGGCAATCGGTAAAGGTGGCTTTTGAGGTAAGAATGCAAGAAAGGAAGGAGGATGCTATACAGATTCATAGAGCACAGGCGTTCCAGGCAGAGAGAACAGTAAAGTGCAAAGGCTTTGAGTTAGGAACTTGAAGTTTTGTGTGTCTAGATCAGACGAAATGAAAGAAACCATGGTAGGACACATCAGATAGAAAGGCCAAATCTTGTAGGGCCTTGTAAGTTGTTTTAAGAACTTTGGGTTTTAACTGTGAGTAAGATGAAGAGCTATTGGAATGAACAGAATGGTTATTGTGATGAATTGACATACTCTTAACTAGATCACGTGGTCTGCACTGTTGAATGAAGGAGTACAGGCAGAAGCAGGGAGACTGGGAGACTGTTGCAGAGCTGTAGCTGTAACATGAGGTGTTGGCTTGAACCAAAGTGTTGTGAAACTGGCCAGCTTGTAAACATTTTAAAGGTAAAGCCCACAAGATCTGCAGAGAAATGGACAATTGGGTGTTAGAGAATGGCATTAAAGATAACTCTAAGCTTTTTGCCTAAGTGATTGGAAAAAATAAATGTGCCATATACTGATGTGAGGAAGACTGAAAAAAGCAGGGTTATAGGTGGGTGAAGATTAAGGGCTCCATTCTGGATATAAGTTTAGAATTTTTTTTAAAAATCCAAGTGAAAATACTGTATAGAAAGTTAAACATGTGGGTATGGAGTTTAGGAGAAAGCTTGCTTGAAGAAAAAAGTGTGTGACTTATTGGTGTTTTTATGGTTTAAAGATAGGAGACTGGAAGTGATCACCAAGGAATAAGTATTACTAGAAAAAAGACCCAAGGACTGAGCCCTGAGGTATTCACATTGTTAAGAGATTAGGGAGACGAGAAATAGACAAAGATATAGCAAGAAGACCTAGAAACCAAGTAAAGAAAGTGTTCTTGGAAGAGGAAGACAGTTGCCAGCTGTATCAGATGCTGCCAGCAGATCATGTGAGAAGAAGTAAGATTTGGGTACTTCATATTTTATGGCATATATATGAATGTATGTATAACCACTCAGCTCGTGTCCCTGTAAGCTCCCACTCCCTTCCTGGTGACCTGCCATTGTTAACTTTTGAATAATTTTACCTATGTCTGATATTACAGGAGAATCCAAACCCTCATATGGCATTCCAGAAAGTTCCACGCCCAACGGAAGGATCCCACTTGCGAGTTCATATTCTTCCTTTCCCAAAGATTAATGAAGCCCGGGTTCAGGAATTAATACAGGAAAATCTTGCTAAGAACCAGAATGCACCTCCTGCTATGCGAGTAGAAAAGAAATGTGTTGTGCCAGCAGGTCCACCTGTTGGTATGTATTTGTCTGTCTGTTTTAAAAGTAAACCTTTTTTAAAGATATAAGACCAAAAAGAAAAAGTGTGCAATTTGATGAAGTTTCACAAAGTGAACAAACTCCTGTAGCTAGAATCAGACCATTATCAATACTCAGAAACCCTGTTTTACTTACTACCTCCCACAAAGGCAATCATAACCCAACCGCTGCCACTATAGAATCTTTTGTTTAAATAACAGCTTTATTGAGATGTAAGTTATACAGTAGATTCACCAGTGTAAAATGTGCAATTCCATAATTTTTAGTATAGTCACAGACTCTTTGAGCCATTATCACTATTTAATTTGAGAGTATTTTTATAACCTAAATAGAAACCTCAAACCTATTAGCAGTCACTCACCATTTCCTCCCCAAACACCTCCTCCCCAGCTTTTTACAGTAATCTACTTTCTGTCTTCATAGCTTTGCCTATTCCAGACATTTTATATAAATACAATTATACAATATGCAATCTTTTGTGACTGGCTTCTTTCATTTAACATAATATTTCCAAGGTACATCTGCGTTGTCGCATGTATCAGTATTTCATTTCTTTTTAAATATCTGAATAATACTCCATTGTTTGGATATGTATCACATTGGTTATTTATCTATCAGTTGATGGATATTCGAGTTGGTTCTACGTTTTGGCTGTTATGAATAATGCTGCTGTGAACATTTATGTGCAAGATTTTGTATAGACATGTTTTCAGTTCTCTTGGGTGTGTACTTAGGATTGGAATTGTTGGGTCATATGGTAATTCTACGTTTAATGTTTTGAGGAGCTGCCAAACCATTTCCCAAAGCAGTCGTGCCATTTTAGATTTCTGCTGGCAGTGTATAAAGGTTCTAATTTCAGCCACTGATACTGAGCATCTTTTCATGTGCTATTGGCCATTTCAGTGTCTCTTTGCCCATTTTAAAATTGGGCTGTCTTTTTAGAAGTGAGTTGTAAGAACTCCTCACCAGCGAGGGAACAAGGTTGGAGGGAGAACGAGTGTGATGAAATGACAGAATCAGACTTCAGAAAGTGGGTAGTAAGAAACTTCTGTGAACTTAAAGAACATGTTCTAACCAAATGCAAAGAAACTGAGAACCTTGAAAAAAGATTTGACGAAATGCTAACGAGAATGGACAAAATAGAAAGGAATATAAGTGAATTGATGGAGCTGAAAAACACAACACGAGAACTTCACGAAGCATGCTCAAGTATCAACAGCCGAATTGACCAAGCAGAAGAAAGGATATCAGAGGTCAAAGATCAACTCAATGAAATAAAACGGGAAGACAAGACTGGAGAAAAAAATGGTAAAAAGGAATGAACAAATCTCCAAGAAATGTGGGACCATGTGAAAAGACCTAATCTACGTTTGATAGGCATACCTGAATGCAACGAAGAGAATGAATCCAAGCTGGAAAATACTCTTCAGGATATTATCCAGGAAAACTTCCCCAACCTAGCAAGGCAGGCAAACATTCAAGTCCAGGAAATACAGAGAACACCACAAATATATTCGTCAAGAAGAGCAACCCCAAGGCACATAATCGTCAGGTTCACCAGGGTTGAAATGAAGGAGAAAATACTAAGGGCAGCCAGAGAGAAAGGTCGGGTTACCCACAAAGGGAAGCCCATCAGAATCACAGCAGATCTCTCAGCAGAAACCCTACAAGCCAGAAGAGAGTGGGTGCCAATATTCAACATCCTTAAAGAAAAGAACTTTCAACCCAGAATCTCCTATCCAGCCAAACTAAGCTTCATAAGTGAAGGAAAAATAAAATCCTTTGGGAACACGCAAGTACTCAGAGATTTCATCACCACCAGGCCAGCTTCACAAGAGCTCCCGAAAGAGGCTGTACACATATAAAGGATCAACAAGTACCAGCTCAACTAAAGGGCAAAACACCCAGCTAGCACCAAAATGGCAGTATCAAATTCGCACATAACAATATTAACCCTAAATGTAAATGGACTAAACGCCCCAATCAAAAGACACAGACTGGCAAATTGGATAAAAAGCCAAAACCCATCGGTGTGCTGTATCCAGGAAACCCATCTCACATGCAAGGATACACAAAGGCTCAAAATAAAGGGATGGAGGAAGATTTACCAAGCAAATGGAGAGCAAAAAAAAGTAGGAGTTGCAATTCTCATCTCTGATAAATTAGACTTTAAAGCAACAAAGATCCTAAGAGACAAAGGGGGACATTACATAATGGTAAAAGGATCAATGCAACAAGAAGAGCCAGCGATCCTAAATATATACGCACCCAATACAGGAGCACCCAGATACATAGGGCAAGTTCTTAACGACTTACAAAGAGACTTAGACTCCCACACAATAATAGTGGGAGACTTTAACACCCCATTGTCAATATTAGACAGATCAACCAGACAGAAAATTAACAAGGATATCCAGGACTTGAACTCAGACCTGGACCAAGCAAACCTAATAGACATTTACAGAACTTTCCTCCACGCCTAATCCACAGAATATACATTCTTCTCAGCACCACATCACACCTACTCTAAAACTGACCACATAATTGGGAGTAAATCACTCCTCAGCAAATGCAAAAGAACGGAAATCGTAACAAACAGTCTCTCAGACCACAGTGCAATCAAGTTACAACTCAGAATTCAAAAACTAACCCAGAACCGCACAGCTTCGTGGAAACTGAACAACTTGCTCTTGAATGTTGACTGGATAAACAATGAAATGAAGACAGAAATAAAGATGTTCTTCGAAACCAACGAGAATGAAGACACAACATACCAGAATCTCTGGGACACATTTAAAGCAGTCTCTAGAGGAAAATATATAGCAATAAGTGCCCACATGAGAAGCAAGGAGAGATCAAAAATTGACACCCTATCATCAAAACTGAAAGAGCTAGAGGAGCAAGATCAAAAAACCTCAAAGTCTAGCAGAAGACAAGAAATAGCTAAGATCAGAGCAGAACTGAAGGAGACAGAGACACAAAAAACCCTTCAAAAAATCAATAAATCCAGGAGCTGGTTTTTTGAAAAGATCAACAAAATAGACAGACCACTAGCCAGATTAATAAAAAAAAGAAAAGAGAGAATAACCAAATCGATGCAATAAAAAACGATAAAGGGGATATCACCACAGATTCCACAGAAATTCAAACCATCATCAGAGATTATGACAAACAACTCTATGCACATAAACTAGTAAACCTGGAAGAAATGGATAAATTCCTGGACACTTGCCTCCTCCCAAGCCTAAACCAGGAAGAAGCCGAAACCCTGAACAGACCCATAACAAGGTCTGAAGTTGAGGCAGCAATTAAGAGCTTACCACCCAAAAAAAGCCCAGGTCCAGACGGGTTCACAGCCGAATTCTACCAGACATACAAAGAGGAGCTGGTACCATTCCCTCTGAAACTATTCCAAACAATACAAAAAGAGGGAATTCTTCCCAAATCATTTTATGAGACCAACATCATCCTGATTCCAAAACCCGGCAGAGACTCAACAAGAAAAGGAAACTTCAGGCCAATATCCATGATGAACATAGATGCAAAAATCTTCAATAAAATACTGACAAGCCGATTGCAACAGCACATCGAAAAGCTTATCCACCATGATCAAGTAGGCTTCATCCCGGGGATGCAAGGCTGGTTCAACATACGCAAGTTTAGAAACGTAATTCACCACATAAACAGAACGAAAGACAAAAACCACATGATTATCTCAATTGATGCAGAGAAGGCCTTTGACAAAATTCAACAGCCCTTTATGCTAAAAACCCTCAATAAGCTAGGTATTGACAGAACGTATCTCAAAATAATAAAAGCTATTTATGACAAACCAACAGCCAATATCATACTGAATGGGCAAAAACTGGAAGCATTCCCCTTGAAATGTGGCACCAGACAAGGATGCCCTCTCTCACCACTCCTATTCAATATAGTAGTAGAAGTTCTAGCCAGAGCAATCAGGCAAGAAAAAGAAATAAAGGGCATTCAAATAGGAAAGGAGGAAGTCAAATTGTCTCTATTTGCAGACCACATGATTGTATATCTAGAAGACCCCATTGTCTCAGCCCCAAATCTCCTGAAACTGATAAGCAAGTTCAGCAAAGTCTCAGGATACAAAATCAGTGTGCAAAAATCACATGCATTCCTATACACCAATAACAGACTTAAAGAGAGCCAAATCAGGAACAAACTTCATTCACAATTGCCACAAAGAGAATAAAATACCTTGGAATACAACTAACAAGGAACGTAAATTACCTCTTCAAGGAGAACTACAAGCCACTGCTCAACAAAATAAGAGAGGACACAAACAGATGCAGAAACATTCCATGTTCATGGTTAGGAAGAATCAATATCGTGAAAATGGCCATACTGCCCAAAGTAATTTACACATTCAACGCTATCCCCATCAAGCTACCAATGACCTTCTTCACAGAACTTGAAAAGAACACCTTAAACTTCATATGGAACCAAAAGAGAGCCCGCATAGCCAAGTCAATTCTAAGCAGAAAGAACAAAGCGGGAGGCATCACACTACCGGACTTCAAACTATACTACAGGGCTACAGTAATCAAAACAGCATGGTACTGGTACCA